AAGTAACGAATATGCTTCGGGGAAATGTATCGAAGTAAAAATATACATTTTAATTATGAAATGTAGTGGAGTAAAAGTAAAAGTTGGCTGAAATATAAAAACTCAAGTAAAGTAGCCTACAGATACTCTCAAAAAAATACTTAAGTACTGTAACGAAGTATTATTACTTCGTTACATTACACCACTGGTGAAAAATTATTAGTGGCTCAAAAAGACTAGAAAGCTGCAAGCACTAAAGTAACATAATTTAATGTTTTTACTGTCAATCTTTCAATCTTATATTATCTTTGCTTCGTTCTTCTAAAAAAAATTTGACATTTAAAATTTTATGATACAAATGTGAATATGAAAAACGTCTAACTGGATCGCATTTGATGCTATTGTATATTTAAACTGGAAAATATGAATAGGCCTACACCCACAAACAGTGTTGGGAAGGTCACTTTGGAAAGGTAATAGGTTACAGATTACAAGTTACCCTATTTAAAATGTAATAAGTAGTGTAACTATTTCAATTACTTAAAGTAATGTAACTGATTACATTTGATTACTTTTTGATTACTTTTCTAAATTTGCAACAAATGTTTTCAACTGTTTATCATTTTGAAACATTTAAAGCAGGCAGGAAGAGTTAACCTTACAGTAGCACTCGACACTGATTACTGTCAGACTTTCAAAATTCTTCATCACTTGAATTAAGATTATAAACATTTTATTTTAAACAACAGACTTTTTACTTTGAGATCGATCTGAGGTTAAATACAGATTTAAAATCATAGCAAGAAATAGTTTAATAGCTATGATACTCTTTTTGAAATCAAATCTTTGCAAAGTAATGACAGGAAACACATGCTAACAATGCTTTAGAAAAAACAGTTAATCTTAAAAAAACATAAACCCAAATAGGAAATAAAACTTTTTTAAAAAAGTTATTGAAGAAGAACGTGTTCTATTCTGTGTCCTAAACTCCTGAAACATTGGTGTCTCATATTTTAGAGCAGTCAGTGCAATTTGGGAAATAAATCAATCTAATCTGTATGTGTATGATAATATTCAGATGTAACCCCTTTTGTAACCGTTAACATTTTCATAAGTAACTATTTAATTAGGCTACACGTTTTTTTCTCAATTACCGTAACAAATTACAGTTACATTTATTTTGTAATTAAATTACGTAATTCCGTTATATGTAACTAGTTACTCCCCAACACCGCCCACAAGGCATTCTAACACTGTGGCAGAGCAAATATAATTCGTGTCTCTACATCCATGATTCATTCAGAGGTTAATCCCATTGGACAGTGCAGGGAGACCGAGTCAGGTGATTTCCAAGGAAGCGATTCATTCAGTCATCCTCCACAGAGAGGGGAATCCGCCCAATCCGGATGCACAGAGCGTCTGTGGGGCGGTCAGTTGTGGGGTTCAGCCGGTTTTAGCTCGCAGGATTTGGGGTATTTCAGCACCAGAAAGGACGGACAGCTCCCGCGGCGTTCAGCTTTGTTTCCACGCCGCTTCTGAGACCCGTGCCCACTGCATCTCGCTCTGAGGACCGCGACGCAGAGGGGCTCGGTGGAGCAGACTGCATGCCGGATTCGACGCTTTTAAGGAGGTCATTTGCATGCGGAATCTCGCCGGGTGCAGCAGCTCTACGTCGGGACTGAGAAACGATGGCGGAGTGTGGAAGGAGGGGACTGTCGCTCCTCGAGGAAGCGCGATCTCGCTACGAGAGCCTGCAGATTTCCGACGATGTATTCGGGGAGTCGGGAGACGACAGCAGCGAAAACCCCTTTTACAGTACGACGGGAGACTCCAATTCGGATAACTACACGGAGACGAATCCGGACGATGCCAGAGCAGGTAAAGCGAGGAGTCAGAGCTGCGGTCCCCCCGGATCCGTCTCCAACGGCCAGGCGCAGGAGGAGGGCTGGAGCGACTCGCTACAGGACCTCAGCGTGCCCCACTATCAGGACACGCATGGTAAGTTGGTCTAATGAAGAGCGATCCTCGTGTAAATGCAATGCAGCTTCATCATCCTTGAGAGGCCTGCATGCTCGACGAGTAATTAAGCTCACAGATGGGACTCTTTGATGACTACATTGGTTTACTTTGATCTCTCTCATCAGATGGCTCCAACAGATGACACAATTCCTTCAAGTATGGATCAGGGGTGGTTATTATTAACTGGCTTTTTGAAATCCTGCACATAGCCAGGGGAAGAGAAAATGGGAAATTAGATTGCAGGCCAAATTTTAGGGTTTCAGTCCAGTTGAGGATGCTTCCAGTGTCTAATCACTGCCAGACTCAGAGCAGCTGTGATTATGATTATGATTAGCTCTGTATCAGGGCAGGAGGGTCATTTGCATAGGGGGATGAGACGAGGCTCTCATTTCTGAGAAATTCACATTTTAAAATGGTAAGATGGCAGCATTTAGAGGAGATTTAGACTTGGTGTAAATGCTTTCTTATCAAGTGATGTACTATGCACATATTCAGCAAGTGGCCATTAGAGGGAACAAATAAGTAAAGACTTATGAGAATAAGGACAAAGAAAGTAAACTAAACCATGCACAAGTCAGACCCAGTAGTTTATTGTAGGATAAAACCCTTAACATTCATGTCATGCAGTCACCGGTTTGAATTAGTATTCAATTCACTGTCAGTGTAGGTGGCTTAATCAAATTTTTTAAAGGATTTTAATAATGCCTTTCATGCAAAGTGTCACCACATTTTATCCAAGCTCACCACTGACTGACTGTCTAGACTTTTATGCCATAGACTAACACTCATTTAGTCATTTTTATGAACTCAGTTTACATGGTAAATTTTGCATGACTTATCAGTATAAAGATGCTTGCCAGTCAAATGCTTGTGGATCCATTGCCTAACCAGCAATCTAAAACAAATGCAATAAAATACAAAACAAATAGGGTATGTTGCTTAATGGTTTATTCATTTAACAGTTAACATGCTGTGCATGTGTCGGAACAGATTTGTACAAATTTAGCATTATATCACTTACTCACCAATGGATCCTCTGCAGTGAATGGGTGCCGTCAGAATGAGAGTCCAAACAGCTGATAAAAGCATCACAATAATCCACAAGTAATCCACACTACTCCAGTCCATCAGTTAACATTAATACATTAAAACGTTAAAACAGTTAACTAATACATTAAATTCAAATAAATATATTAAAGTGCCAAATGTAAAAGATTTTGTGATGCCATCGTTGTTTAGCTGTTTTCCGTGTCTCACAAAGTATTAAGTGAATGGTTTTCTAGATTCTCTCACTATGAAATGAAATAATTTCAAATGAAATGATTTATGACTGGAGTTTGACTGTTCAGTTGTACAAAATATATATAAAAAAGATATATTGTGAAATATCCTGAATATAGACTGAACTGGAGAGAGAAAGAGAAGGGCTCATATTGAAGGTCTATATTTCTCTCTGAATATATTTCTCTGAATATATTCTCTCTATATTTCACTCAAGTCAAAGTGACCCAAGAGCATCTTTAAATGACGCATGTTTGAGTCTGTTTTTAAATGTCATATAAAGAGCTTTTAGTGCACAAATATGGGAAATTAAAGAATGATGTTTAATGAACCAAAACATACTGAGAAATACCATGATAATGTTTTAGAAGAAAGTATCCTAATCTGCACGTAATATTTTCTTGTTTTGGTTTGAACGTTTTCCAAATTGAGTAGATGCCGTGCTGTTGATAAATGACAGATCTTTCCGTCGTGGTTGCTCAGAAAGTTCTGTCTGTCACCATGGGGGGAAAATGGGCCATCTGGTTGCTGCCTTTGCTTTGGCACAAGCTGCAAAATGATGCATGAAAGATGCACAAAGTCACACAACAGACATTTTGCATTTCATGTCATGGGTCATTTAATAAGATGCGACACTTGTGGACACTGACAAACAATGCTTCATCAGAGCGTGCTGTCAGTACTGTTTGTATAAGGCAAATGTCTGGCACAACACTCTAGCCTGACTGTGATTCTTATATAAGGTCTATATTATTTAGGTCAACATAATGCACTTTGGGCTCTTGCTTACATCCTTCAGACTTTGTGTTAAAGCATGTCTTCTAACATATCTCAAGTAATATGTAGAATTATAGAAATATAAACCAAGGCACAATAAAGAGCTATAAGCTATCCTTCATTTTGCCTGCAACAGATCTTTGTCAAACCCAACAGTTTTGTGACATGATAGTTAAACTGAGACACAAAGCTTGGACTGTTTGAGGGCCATATGGTGTGATTCTGCACCTGCTGTGAGATCTAAAAGAATAAGATCGATTTATATCAGCTTGCTTATTTGTTTAAAGGAGGTGTAGAGAAGGTACAGGGACTGCTGGTTCTTCTCAATAATTAATCTAGGAAACTATGTGGCACACCAGCAGCTGTTCTCCTGGAAGACTGACTGTAGACACAGAGATAAATAAATACATTTTGATGTTCTACAGAACTACTGGGTGTGGAAAGAAAACCTTTTTGAACACAGCTATTATATAAAATACCACTGGAGCACTTTAAACATTAAACTTAAAAGAGGACAAGTCTTTTAAACCATGTTTATTTTATACTTTAATTTAAGCATAGTTTTCTTTCAAATAAAATACAGCAGTACTGTACATTGGTATGTTGACTTCATGCATTTTAGAAGTGATATGGCCATTATCTGGATTAAGCTACAGAGTCATACTCTATTACATAACACTTTGATTTAATATCATAACAGATTTTAAGCCAGATACGAACATATAACTGTTTGCTCTATCAAGTTAATGATATACTATTTTGTTTAACTAGTAAGACCAGCATGAAATTAATTTATCTAACCGTTTAAAAAATATTTACAATATTAAAATACATATAGGCCTATATATTTTGTGTATAGAGTAGACCTTGACATAAAATAATTTTGGGAACTTAAAATGTCTGACTTTTTTTTATCAAATTCAAGGCAAAAGGATAATAATGACCAGTTACAAGATACACAGTTTAGCTTATACACTCATATAAATTATAAGTCCATGAATGCATTGTGTGTCAACTACCTATTTTTAGCATACTGGGCAAAATGTTAATATAATCAGCAACTTTGTGAGATTTTTCTTGAGATGTTTTCTCTCTCTCTTACTGATCTTCTTTTGTGTTTGGTAAGTAGTTTATACAAAAAGGCACAGATGAATGAACATAATACACTGTACAATGGACTTTATCCTGGGGGAATGTTTGCATTTGCTTTACAAGCTTCTTCAGAGCCATAATGGGAGATGAGCTACTGGTTGAATAGCAGCTGTTATGGTTAGGTTAAGATGTATATGTATATGTATATATATATATATATATATATGACTGAATGAACACACGAGGCTTTGGAAAGCATGACAGAACCATTTGTTCATGAAAATAACAAAAACAAAAATATGAAAGATGTGTGTTTTTGTTCTATTTTCCTCTCAAGACAATTTTTACAACAGATTTCCTTAAATCAGAATCCTTACAGTTGTTTACTCACAGTTGTATATTGCGCTCAAATCAATTACACACTCTCTTGCTTTGGGGTCATTAGGCCACTGTGGCACTGAGTAAATGTGGCAAGTGCTTGCCACAGGCTTGATCACTATCAGCACCTCTGTGTCTTCAGGAATGCCAAATGGCCCTTTTGTTACTGAAGATAGGTTTGGGACAGGAAGGCAGAAGTCTTTGATAATTTTTGACCCTACACCAGTGCTGTGCTTTGGGGTTTCTGTCACTACAAAAAAAAAAAAAACACATACTGTAAGGGCAGCATACTTTTATTTTCGTCTGTTATTTATGAGTTTAGTCATTTAAGATCAATACACTTTCACACTAAGCAACACTGTAAATGTACTTATTTCACAGTGTAAGTTAATGTACCATGGAACCCATCTGCTATAAAGAGCTTAAGTTAGACTGAGACACATTTTCATTCTTAGCTGTTTTCTCCGTTTATGTGTGGGCTGCTTGGATTGACGAGATGTCCATTAGTGGAAGTGGAGTAAAAGATAATAAGGGAACAAATTAAGCTTTTTGTGAGCCACTTTCTACAACTTTTTGTCATGAGCTGATAAGCTCAATCTCCGCAGCTCAGTGTTGATGTACCATACGCTCATTAGTTGTTACTGAATGCTCCCTATTAGGTAGATGGTGATAAGGGTCCTGATAAAAGTCATTCGATGTTCAACTGTGCATCTAGCACCCAGCCTATAAAGTTAAAGGGATAGTTCACTCAAAAATGAACATTATGTAATCGTTTTCATGTTGTTCCAACCCTGTATGACTTACTTTCTTCTGTTGAACACAAAAGTTTTTCATTCTATGGACAAAAATAACTAAAATCTCTTCAGTCAAGATAAGTTATTGTACATTTTCTGACTTTTTTTTAGCTGTTATTTGTGGAAACCCATTTCTTCCATAGGATAAATGTTTTTTTTTTTTTTAAGTAATTACAACTTTTTTTCTCATAAATATATAAACTCTCAATTCTGAGAAATTACTGAAAAAGTTCTGACCATACTGAATATCTCGAAATGTTTACTTTTTTTTTTAGAATTGTGAGATATAATCTCAGAATTGCCAGAAAAAGTCTGAATTGTGAGATAAATATTCGCATTACTATTTTAATTTTTTTTAATCCAAAAACAAGCTTTCGTAAACATCCATAATTATAAGCAATGAAATGTAACATTATTATTTGGAAGAAAGACTGACCTAAAATAGTTTTTATTGAAAGATTCATAGCTCTTCTGTAAATCAGCTGCTCGTTGTTTTACATATTTAAACATGTATAATTAAAATCACATATGCATTTCTATTTGATTTTTTTTTAGAGATTTTCAGCCTCTTTTTTTTATTCAAAATAACCAGCTTTGTGGATCATAAAATGATGCGATAGCTCTTGCATTATTCTCTGCAATCATCAGAGCAACAGCCTGGTAAAATAATCCCTGGCTAGATAAGAAATTAACAAATTAAAATACTATTCTGTTAAACTTACCTTTTATTTTGCAGGTCCGACACAGAAAATGCCGGCCACTGCCACGGCCATGGACTTCTTCCAGCTGTTTGTCCCTGACAACGTCATTCAGAACATGGTGACCCAGACCAACATGTATGCCAAGAAGTACCAGGAGCGCTTTGGCAGCGATGACGGATGGACCAATGTGACGCTGGCTGAGATGAAGGCCTTTCTGGGCTACGTTACTTCTACTGGCGTGAACCGTTGCGAGTCAGTGCTGAGCATCTGGAGCAGCGGATTCTTCAGTAACCGCAGCATCGCGCTCAAGATGAGCCAGGCACGGTTCGAGAAGATCCTCAAGTACTTCCACGTCGTAGCCTTCCGCTCCAGCCAATGTGGCAGTCAGGGCCTCTATAAGATCCAACCCTTCCTGGACTCTCTCCAGCAGAGCTTCGCCTCGTCCTTCAGGCCCTCACAGACACAGGTAAAGATCGGACTTCAGTTCAGTGTAGAAATCACTCAATAGGCAATCAGCAAGAACCAATATGTTTAAGGTACAAAAAGAAACTGCACAAACTAAATCTTCAGATCAACTTTTTGGAAACTAGGACTAGCAAACATATTCTTATTCAATTTCTGTGCCAGTAGAAAGTGGGTTTGGGACTGAAATCAGAGCACGTTCTGCTGTAATTGGGAAAGCCTGGAGTCCCGTCACATGTCCCCAGGCTGTGAGCTTTATGGTGCCATTGAGAGGGTTGAAGGATTTTTTATGTCTGCAACTTTTCAGATCTGCTGAATGCAATACTCAGTTGTATTTTGAATCCTAATTAGTAACATACATAGACTGAAAACTAACTAGTAACATCTGTTCTGAAACACTACTGTTAAAGGCATGAATGCCTCAGGCCCTTAAAGACATTTTGAGTTATTCATAAGCTCAGAAGTCAACATTTTGACATTTATTCTGTGTACTCTTCTGTAAATCCCCCAGGTTTCAGTTCTTCATGTATCCAGCTTAGTTTTATTACGTATCTGGATTGGAACTTAGGATTTCATGAAACCTTTGCGTGAACATTTGGGCGGTGTTATGCAAATCTTCCCACATTGCGACTTAGATATGTGGGGGCGTGTTAGAACGAGCAGTTTTAGGTAGGCGTGGCTGACTCTTAACTTTTATAAAGAATATCTCTTTGGATTTGCAACTTTACAGATCTTCTTTATGCACCAAGAGCTTGTAACACTCCAAAGAGAAAGGAAAAATTGAAATCGCATCATATGATTCCTTTAAATTATTAATCAATATTTAATTAAATTCTTGATCTTTATTATTAAATAAGGGACATGAATTAAAATTAATTACACTTCTGTTCAAAAGTTTGGGTTGAGTAATATTTTTTGAAAGAAATTAATGCTTTTACTCATCAAGGATGCATTAAATTGATAAGTGACAGTAAAGACATTTATAATGTTACAAAAGATTTCTGTTTCAAATAAATGCTTTAGAATCATGAATTTATTTATATATATATTTTTAATCATGGTTTCAACAAAAATATTAAGCAGCACAACTGTTTTCAGCACTGGTAATAATGAGAAATGTTTCTTGAACAGCAACTCAGTATATTAGAATGATTTCTGAAGGACCATGTGACACTTAAGACTGGAGCAAAGGCTGCTAAAAAAAATTTAAACTGTAATATTTTTTCACATATTACTGTTTTTGCTGTATTGTTGATCACATAAATTCAGCCTTGGTTGGCATAACAGACTTATTTCAAAAACATTTAAAAATCTGACTGATCCCAAACTTTTAAACAGTATACATATACTGATTACTTAATCAAACTAATTGCAATTAATTTAGAGAAAAGCTTCTAAATAAAGACAAACTGACATTACATTCTTATGACACATTAAATGCATACATTTTTTAATTAATTGTACTACGTTAACATATCAAATGAACAGCCCTATTTTAAATCAAAATTGCTGTAAATAAATATGATAAACAATGAAGTCAGATATCTGATTCAAAGTGCTATAAGCTTATAGACCGTAATTGCCAATTCTGTTAATCCAGTACCCCCGAATCTCACTTTAAATGTAGTCTTCTGTTAGATAAAATAACAATAATCATGCGCTCATTGTGTCAGACATTCAAATGTCAGGCTAACATCGGGGAGTTTACTGTTAAATGACAAGACGACTTCTAAATGAGCACAGCTCTGCCAAGTAAGCCATTTCAACACCCTCCTACATTTGTTCTGTTTTTCTTTCTCTCTCTCTCTTCATTTGGAAAATTAGTTGGATTCACTGATCTGGGCTTCTGCTTTCAGATAGGGGACATAAAATTGGAACTGAGCTGTCAGAAGTAATCTTGAAATATGGGCTAGAATCTGAGCAGTCCATTATTCAGCAAAAGTGAAACACATTTATTACATTCGGTCAAATTAAAGGCCCGATATACAATTAGAATAAATGATTTGCGCTTCCTGACTCAAGACATTGTTTCTCAAACAGTATGAATAATTCACAGGGTATAATGCATCTCAGCACATTCATCTTTTAAACAGCCATCGGGGATTTCTTTTAGTAACTAGCTTTTGGTGTATTTCCCCCTCTTAGAATGTGAGAATACACTAGAACATAGGCTACATATATTGCTTGATTGATTGCTTGATTGATTGATTGAGTATAAGGGAAAGTGTGACATACAGTATACAGTTAGCTAGGCAAATTAAATAAAATTGAAATTTCCTTTGAGAAAAGTAATTCTCCTTTTGTGCTGACGGTTTGGTGCTAATTAAGGTCCTTTGAACTCCTGCCCTTTGAAATCCCCATTAATTACTGTTCCTACTGAAGTGCTTTTGAGATATTTTAAGGTCCTTTTAGTACTTCAAGTAAAATTAATAATCTGCCATGGTGGAAATTGTAGGTTGTCAACTTCTACATTTACAACTTATTCATATTAAAGGGATAGGTTACTCAAAAAAATGAACATTTAGTATCCTCATTTAAGTAACCAGCATCATGTGGGTTAGCAAACCCTTTTGGTGAACTATCCTTTTATGCTGGTCATTAACCTGCATTTTAGCTTGGAATTTCTACCAATAGAATCAACTTCAGCTCCTAAATCAAAGATTTGCATTTAATGAGGCCTTGTGTGACCCATCTCAGAGACACCCCTCAATTACTCGCCTGCCATGAGTAAACTAAACACCATCTGCGTCTCTCAGCTCTCCCAGTGCCATGGTTATATCACCTTGACCCACTTTGACTGCCACAGTGTGGGTTTGGTTCTTATCCCCTATTGGCAAACAATAAGGCATTCAGCACAGCCACACATGCCCCGTTTAACTACTTCAGCTCTGTCAGAGGGTTTACTGAGTCAAACACTGCTTATTATGATATCTATAGGGAATGTAGCAGGTTAGTTTGAACAGATCTATCATACCTGACTGGACAAGCCAACATCTTTTCTCAGGATCTTCATCAGGATTTCAGCGTGCATCTCCTGCAGGGAACATAAAAAGCTTGAAAAGCAACTTTGCATTGACAAATGATGCGTTTGAAGTGTTATCATGGTGGAGTTTTCAAATGAGACATGCTGCTTTCCCTCAGGTCCTCCATGAGCCCTTGATTGATGAGGACCCCGTGTTCATTACCACATGTACAGAGAGGGAGCTGCGCAAGAGGAAGAAGAGAAAGTTCAGCCTGTGGGTGCGACAGTGCAGCTCCACTGGTTTCATCTGTCAGGTGAGTGCACATGGGGAGGATATCACCCAAACATTTATCAACTGCCCCAAGATGTTATATCACATTGTTTCTAATGAGAAAGACGCCCAAAATATTCATTTATCGAAAATATTTTGTTACTCTGTTGCCACAAACAAAGCAATTTTACACAATTCTCTGATATTTGTTAACGCAAATAAATTAGACTACAGAGAAGCACATTACCAGATGGAATCAATAAAATATCATTTATAGAGTCAACAAAGAAAAAGAAAGTCCAGACCACTTAACATAATTGCACTCTTCTCTTGGTCTGTGCCTATTAGAGAAAATAACTGCTTTGCGCCTAGGGAGTGAGCCAAACAGACAACAGAATTTATTGTCCTTACTTCAGTATTTCTGATGTACAATACCATTCAATGTTTATGTTTTTGAAATACATCTCTTATGCTCACCAAGGCTATGTGATCAAAATACAGTAAAACGGTAATATTGTGAATTAATATTACAATTTAAAGACATTACTCCAGTCTTCAGTGTCACACGATCCTTCAGAAATGATTCTAATATGCTGATTTTCTGCTCAAGAAACATTTCTTTATTATTATCAATTTTGAAAACATTTTTGTGCAAACTGATACATTTTTTCAGGATACTGTGATGAATTAAAAAATATCGAAAGAACAGCATTTATTCGAAATAGAAATCTTTTGTAAAATTATAAATGTTTTTACTGTCACTTTTGATTAATTTAATGCATCTTTGCCTGATGTGAATAAAAACATACATTTCTTTAAAAAATAAAAAAAAAACATGCTCACCTCAAACATTCAAATCAGAGTCAATTTTGAAGTGTATTTAAGAAAAAGATTAGACTGATTTGATCGTGAAAAGAAGGCATCACATATCAGAATGCCAAATCATTCACCATAATATCCAGAATGTGAAATGTAAATAATTTATTTCTGGCACAGTGACACTGTGTTTCTTCCTCACCAGATCTATGTCCATCTAAAGGAGGGTCCAGGTCCAGATGGTTTGGACACGCTGAAAAATAAACCCCAGCTTCACAGTCTGGTGGCCAAGCAGCTCTGTCAGAATCTGGCTGGCCGTAATGCAATCATCTTCACTGGCCCAAGCATCACAAGTCTAAACTTGTTTCAGGAATTTGAGAAACAGGGTAGGTGCTGTAACTCATGTGCAACAGTACTGCATCTGTCAGTTCCTTGCATCCTTATCTGCTCTACTTCTCTCAGTGAATTCTGCCTTGGCTTTGCTTTGCTTCTTTTTTTCCCTTCTCTTTAATCTTCTCTCCATCTGATGTCCCTCATCCCCTGCAGTTTTTAATTACACGGTGACAGCATCCTGTGGCAAGGAATAAATGGAGAGAGTGAGAGGAAGTTGACCTTGAGTTCTCACAGCAAACTCGTGTTTCATACTCAAAGATTATTTGAAAGGCTCCAGCTGGGCAGCAAGGAATGAATGTTAACACAGCTAGTGTGGATTAGGCTGGTGGCCAGCTTCTTTTTTCTCTCTACATTTGAATCAAAACCTTTTACATTATTAGAGAACTAAGTCTTGAATGTCATGTAGAATTTATATATCAGCTTCATACATAGTCTTATTCAGCCTCATACACTACTGTTCTGTAGTATTTAGGGAGTAATTAACTAAAAGTGGTGACTTTTCAATAGCGTGACGGTAGCTCAGCTGTTTTAAAAGCAGTGTAGCTTTCAAACTTAACATTATAAAACACTATGAAAATGTAAAACGCTTTTTTTTTATATCACGATTAAGTGCCACAGAGAAGTAAATCATTTATTTTTGCATTCTTATAAGGGAAAAAATGTCTTTCTGTAGAATTGTCATAGTAGGCTGCAAGCAAAAACGTCATACAACATGTCTGATTAATAAACAAATTACTATAATGAGGGAAGAAATACTATTATGAGTCAGTTCGTTTGATGAATGCTATAAGATACAAGTTGTTTGATTTGAATCAAAGTCCAAGGAATCCTTCTCTGAGCTGAATCCAGCCGAGCAGTTCACCATTACAAACACAAATGCTGAAAAACAAACAAGCTCGAATGCTTGAGCATAACAGCACAACAAATTGCTGACAAATGGTCTGTTATTCATACCAAGAGCAAACAGGAAATATCACTCGGCTGAACAACATATGTCCAGTTCAGTGAATTGGTTTGTTCAGACTCAGAGAGTTCATGTAAAGCAGTGACTTTTGATGGTTTTTACATAGTTTTTCTTTGTAGCCAAGTGGGTACTTAGACCTTATCACTGTTTATAGCAGGTTTTCAAATTTTATCATTGTTATTTAGCATAATTATTTCATCTATTTTAATGCTATCATCATATAATTCTTCTCTGTACAAATACATTTTATTTCATACAAATATATACAGTATTTAAAAAAGATATTGCCCTTCTAAATAGCTTCAGTGTACTTAGCTACTTTTCACTAGTAGTTGTGGTGAAGGAAATTAATTTAAAAGAGTATTTAACTAGGCCTACTTTAACTGCTTTGAATTAAGAGGATCTTGTATCATGACAGTTTTAGAGCAGCTTCCCCAAAACTGCTGTTCAGGCATTTTTGCCCCAGCTGTTACATTCATTTCACACAGCATCAGGTTCATGTTGTGTAATGCAATTTTATTGATGAGGAATGTCCTGCAGCGTTATTTTAGTATTACTGAAATACTAATGTAGGATTATATATATATTTTAAATTAGTTTTTTCTTTTTTTTAAGGGGTCATATGATGTTGCTAAAAAGAACAATATGCTGATTTATTATTAGAATTATCAACAGTTGTGCAGCCAAATATTTTTAAGTTACGCCTTCTTTCTTTGCGTGAACGTTTGGGCGGCGTTATGCAAATCTTCTCACATCGTGACGTAGACATGTGGGGTGTGTTAGAACGAGCCGTTTTAGGTAGGCGTGGTTGACTCTTAACTTTTATAAAGAATATCTCTTTGGATTTGAGACTTTAGTCTTTGCAACTTTACAGATCTTCTTTATGCACCAAGAGCTTGTAACACTCCAAAGAGAAAGGAAAAATTGAAATCGCATCATATGACCCCTTTAAGTTTTCGTCATTTTATTAGTTTTTTATGTCTATATAGTTTTTATTCATTTTTATTTTATTTTTATTTATTTCAAGTTTTAAGGACATTTGACAGCACGTTGTTCATTGCATAAGTATATAGGATGGAGATGAAAATCTTCAAGAAAAGATTAGTCACGCCCTTTTCCCATGTGGGGAGGATGAATAATCATCACATCTCCGATCTCATATCAGATTTCTAGGCCACGTTCAGATAGGCTGCAGCATCTGGCAGTGCTGCTGTGGACAAGACATCTATCTGCTCACAGCTTTATAGATCACACAAACAGGGGTCTATTCATGTGACCTTTATTCATCCTATCAGCATTCAAATGTGAACACTTGTTTTGCCATACACTGAATGTTCAGGCTAAATATTAATTCTCAGCCAGCTCCAGAGATGGATTATTATTTTTTTTTCTGTAATATGTTCCTTCTCTTGTAGGCATCTACTGCTGTGGGTTGCTGAGCACTAGGAAGAGTGATTGTACAGGTCTTCCTCAGTCTATGCTGATCAATACCGAGGCTCCACAGCAACGTGGCCAGTCTCACATTAAGATGAGAGGCAATATGTCCATAATCAATTGGTACAACAAAGGCACCTTCAGGTTCCTCACTAACGCCTACTCTCCCACTAAAGAAGGTAAGAAATAAAATAAAAGGAAGCATGCACATGCTACAAATGACACTCGCAAGCTGCATCAAAGCACCTCCCAGAGAACGTTTTCACTATAGCAGTGCAAGCTTAGATTGGTTTTACACCGATGATTGTGGATTAAGTGGATATTGTGCACATCATAGGATTATAAAAGGCAAAGTCTCGTCGTATTGCATCGGTCTTCACTTTTCTTTGATAAGCTTTGATCCATTCTGACAGCAGCTTCACATGAGAAATGTCAGCGCTGATACTAGGCATTTTCATTAGAGAGAGATATAAAGCATTGAGCTGTGTCAATTTTATCATTATAAAAACTTATTCCCTTTTTCTTTCTATTACAATCCAATCAAAAAGCAAATATATGCATGAAGTGTTCAAAGCACTTCACATTGTCAAAAGGTATATCTAGCTATATCTATATGGTAAACAAATAGCATTGCTCCTGGTTTATGAGGTCAGGCAAAAGGGAGATTAAATTACGATTTATATTTCATTCTCTGGAATCTGAAATAATCTGTTTATATAGTAAAAGCTTTTTCTGCTCCTCTTTGAGAGCAGGTGTTGCTTTTGATTAAAGGGGCTAGACAGTTTCAATGAAAACTAAAGCTCTGCCAAGTTTTTTTTATACATAACCTGAACTAAAACTCAGTTTTAGTTCCCACCGGTATACAGCGTAAATTTTTAGACATTTTGTAAGTCCACAGTCTATAAAATACTTTCAGTGCTTTTCCCCATAGTCTTTAGGACTCAAAATAACCCATTTTAATTTTCAAAAAGTGCCAGCACTGTAATTTGCATGCCACATGAACTCCTGAGGAAGGCAGTAGATTGAGCTCTAATGAGCAGTAGATTACTACTGAATGCAACAGATGGCAGTTAATTGTACGCTGACAATATCAGAGGGTTCATAATGGTACAGATCTAATGACTGGGACTTCTTACTCATTATGTTTCAGTGACATCATGTTTTTGATTCTAATTTAATTACATGTGACTCACATTCATGTGAATTACATTTAGACTGTAATAAAATTTAGAAGATGATGCATGGGTTATATGATGAGTGATTATACAGAAAGGACACCTACCAAGGTTGTGTGCCATTCAAAATTGAACAGAGAATGCCCTATATTTTCTAATCCAGTTCCAGAATTTGAACTGAGGTTGCACACAGAATGCAGAACTGTAATTTGAATGTGAATGTAAGAAAGTAGAAATAAAATGACTTGAAATATAAAAGAAATGAAACTGTAATTTTTAGCAAACACTTTAAATGTTGACTTGAGAAGTTAAAAACTTGAAGCTTGCAGGTTTATAAAGCCGAAATTGCACGATAAATAAAGTTATTGTTTCCCAAAAGAAATAACAGACTCTAAACAGCCTAAACGAGTCGTCAGTAATTCAAATCCCACTCATGGGGTAACACATTTGCATAATTCCCACCTATGTTGACCTGCCCTCAAACACTATAGCTTGTTCGTGGGGTAAACATCATGTCGAGAAGACTCTGTGAAAGTAAATTCGTTCGCTGCAAAGAATCAGTGTTCAAAATATAATTTTTTTCCATTACAACAGCAGTACAACCACAATCTTGTTTTGAATTCCCGTCATTTTCCCAGTCATGACGACTGCTTCTTTAATCTCAGACAGTTCAACACGGGATTCACAAAACGCTTGCTCTTGAAAGATGGCTCAGTACCCAGTTTATTTGAACTAGCTGGCTCCACTGAATCATAACCCGCAAGTATGATAAATAATAGATATTTGTATTTTCTATCGAGAGTTTAAAATACAGATCTATTGCAATAGGTGTATCGTTTCCAACACACACTGTACTCGGTAGACCAATCACAACAGACTGGGCCATCAGACCAATCAGAGCAGAGTAGGCTCATGGAAAGGAGGGGTTTAAAGAGACTGAATCTTAGAACTGCTTCGAACAAATCGTTTGAGAATGAGGTGATATTTGAGAAAACAAAAGCGTATTTTGCATGCATGTAGACCTATTGTAGGAGACTCCCAAAACAATATTATGAACCTTAAAAATAGCATAATAGGGGCACTTAAAAATCTACATTTATGCTTGTGATCAGTAAAAGCATGATTCATGTTACTAACAAACCAGAAGATCTCGTTGCTAAGGTACAGCAGAAAACTGAACAATCCTTCCTTACTGTCAGATGGTAAATCCTCTTGTCTGCTGACTGTGACTGACATTTCTGCCCGGATTGTCCTAGGGGTGATCATTAAGAGGAAGAGTGGAGAAATCCCATGTCCCCTTGCTGTGGAGGCCTTCGCTGCACACCTGAGTTACATCTGCAAATATGATGACAAGTACAGCAAGTGAGTTTGTCCAGTTAAGTCTGTTTTACAATGAACCTTTACATGCATTTTATAGTTCACTCAACTCATGCGTTTCCAACTAGGTACTTCATTTTCCACAAGCCTAATAAGACCTGGCAGCAGGTGTTTTGGCTGACCATCAGCATCGCCATCAACAATGCCTATATTCTTTACAAGATGTCAGACGCCTACCACGTCAAACGCTACAGCCGGGCGCAGTTCGGCGAGAGGCTGGTCAAGGAGCTTCTGGATATGAACGACTGCTCACCCACTCAGTGAAGAAACCGCATGCTGTCTCTAACCCACTCATACTAACATACTCAAATACACTTGCATTCTGCACTTCAGGGTCATTTTGAACAAACAAACCCTATACATAACGCTATACATAAAATGTGTGCCAAGTTTGGTTGAAAAAGGGACGTTTTCCATCTAAACTCACATTTAAGACCCCATTTGATACTACAGGACTGTTGTAAATACGTCACTGTAACACTTGCTGCATGAGAAACACGAAAACGTGCCCTTTGTAGATGTGCAATGATTTTTATCCATAGAGTTCCAGTAATAGTGTTGACGTAGTTTTGAACCCTGAGGTACATGTTTTGTGAATTCTCTGTTTGTGAGCAGCATTATCCAACATCCAGCACTGATAAATATACTGTATATACTCTGTGATTGAGGCGTTTTATCAGCAAAACCAGAATGTAATGCAATTCACATGTTAGATCACAGAACATCGTAGATGTTGTCCCAAATACCTGGGCTTTTTTCTATTTTATATCACTTAATATTTATGATCTTTATGACTCTTTTTTTTAAAAGGCAGCAACATTAGTGACGCAGATGATGTATAATGCCACACAGACACCAAAACTGGAGGTGAAATGTGGCAAAACTACTATGCTTTCCCAATCTTTTTTTTACTCGGTAGTAGCGGTCAGGATTCGCAAGTCTAATGATCCCAAATTAGATTTCAACATAACATGAACTCCTTTGTCTGCCTTTCATTAATATCCATATCATTTTGTCAATTAAATTATTATGATGAATATACAGTAGGAAAAGGCCCAATATACAGTAGTATACCAAAAATAATGTAAATATTATTTCTAATAATTTATTTATATATTTTTATTATGTGTAATTTAAATTGATTATCTAGGGGCATAGATGTATTTGCGAATGAATAAAAAAAAATGAATGAAATTATAAAAGACTTTAACTAGAATGTCTGTCTACCTGTAAGTGGGTGGATTTATGTGGTCGTTCACTGTTCCAGAATCTATCAAAAGATCAATTCTCCATGTTGCTATATTATAACCGTAGTAATGACGATACAATCGCAGCTCATGGCATAATTCGTCCATTCAAAGAACCGAAGCGGATTCATTTCGCTCAGGTAATATATTTAGTCAAACTCTCCCACTGTATCACTGTGTTATATTCATGACCACTGTAAGGGACAGATGTACTATTGTGAGTGAATTTGTCACAGATTTACCAGACATGCTTCTTATTTACTGTGGTGCCATCACCTGCTGCTTTTCTTTGTACCGAGTGAAACGCTGCGTACTAACAAACCAATTAGGATGCTTACCACTGAAAATCACTTAAAACATTCTTTTAAAGCTTCATATTCAGTCTATACAAATCTGTACAAGAAGTCTACTTTGCAATGTCAGCTGCAGTTATTCACAACAATATATATGCCATATTTTATACCTTTTAAATCAAGACAAAAGCAATGTTGTATTATATAGGTGTGCTCATAAACATGATTGTTTTTTTTTTTGATGAATGTCATGAATGTTGCAAACATTTGATTTCACTTCATTATAATATTTTTTGTACTACTAATCTTATCTGCATAGTCAATACACTAACAAATACACTTCAGGCGATAACTGCCACCTGTGCTTATCTAATATAAATGGCAACAGATAATTTTGAGATTGTATATCCGTGTTTTTCAGAGCATCCTTTGGGTTCAATCTGCACTACAGTGGGAATTATTTAATTATTTTAATCAGGCAGACAGTGAACTGTAATGGCGTTAGAGAGGTGTTTGACCTTATCTAGGGTGACCTCAGGGTTTTGTAACTACAACATCTACTGTAGTGCAATATAACGTAGGAGATCGGACCGGGTGCTATGAACATCTCTGCCAAGAACATAATCTGTAAGCCAGAAAACGGTTGGCATGACTGAGACTTTTAATTAAAGCTCTTGCTGGTGCAGAACATTAGAATAAAACCCTTCCAATAAGCAACGTTTCTGCTTTTGCACTGGCTGCTAACATTGTAGGATATACTTCAGGGCCAGCTTCATGTGGCATGATAGCAGGTGAAAATAAACTGTCCTTTTAATAACAACACAGCTATGACAACTATATAATCTCATTTACTGGACCAAATTCCTCAATATCTGGTCAATTTAACTAGAACCCAGTGTTGGAGATGTATGTATTTTCATGTATGAATGTTGTGAATGTGCCGTGTCTTGCTGTAATAAGACTTGGTGTTCCTTCAACTTGTCTTCTCACTGTGAATGTTGAAATGATTCAGCTGTACGTGAGAGTATCGGTGTTATCTGTAATGTTCACCCTCACTGTATGTCCAGTTATCAAACTGACCTGTGCTTCACCTCCCTGCCTCTATGTGAGTTTACACCAATTTGCACACTAATAAATGTTGTTTAGACATACTTTTTCCCTACAGTAATTGGTTGCAACATTCATTGCACTATTCCTAGAATCTCACAAACTTTTCCAAGTCACATTTTCCATTAAATGTAAAAATTGATAAATGGATAAATGAATTAATATTGTAATAATAATAATTTAATATCATTAACATATTTAATTAATATGATAAATAATACATAATGTAATTAAGAATTAATTACTATTAGAACCCTTAATACTTTTTTCTTTGCATTGTGACATTTTCCGAACACGTATGCACATCCTGTCCCCAAATTCTCATTACAGTAAAGCTGTGAAATTAAAATAAAGTGCTATGCAAATAAAAAATAAAAAAAGCATAAAAAAGTTATGCTATGCAAATAAAGGCAATGCTTGTTTATCAAGAAAGAGAATGAGATATTTGAGAATGAGATTTATATTTATTATGTATATATAAATACACACACATGCATGTTTATATTTCAGAATTTTTTTTATTTATTAAATATATTTATATAGTATAAATTATATGAATATAAATTTATACATGTAAATATTTTTTTTTATATATACGTGCATGTGTGTGTATTTATATATACATAATAAATATACACAGCACACATATATTATGTAAACAAAAACTTTTTTGGATGTGATTAATCGCGATTAATCGTTTGACAGCACTAATATATATATGTATGTGTGTGTAGCGTTTGTACTGCATTTAATTTTCATTTTTGAAATTTATTTTTAGTGTAATACAATAAATATAATTTACAATGTAAAAATTCTAAGGGTCCTAGTAGTAGATTATATTCTGATGCAAAAATATGTATTTAGTTTTGTTAATGCACCATATTTGAAAACACTTAGGACACTAGATATGTATATAATTTTTTTTATTTAAGTTAATTATTTTCCGTCATTCAAACCTTTGCAATATCTATAAAACCATGAACAATTACAAGCGCTGTACAGTTGACCAAATCACTATAACTGCAACTGAATGTGTAAATGTACATGCATGGACATACATACTGTATATACACACATATACACTATTACAACTGTTGACCCCATGCGGTTTCCTTTGCCATTTAATGCAACATCAAGATCTTCCTAAAACTGGCTTTCAAGGAAACCAAAGAGACAAAAAAAAAAAAAGGTGGGGGCCACATGTCCTTCATTTACTAAAAATGAAACCGTCCTAGTCTGGAGTAGAAGTGTGTTTCCATGTTTCAGTCAAAACAGCAAATGACTTTGGCACACTGTGCTAAGTAAACATTTCATCCAATTCAAAGATTAGCCATCATGTATTGCTCCGAATTTCTTCAAAAAGCCCATCTTTCAAAGCCCAAACTTTACATAATTTCATTGGCTTCTCCATTTAAACTGGAGAAAGGTGGCGTGATTCACTATGGCAAAACTACCTCTGCTTTCCTCGTCCAGCAGAATCATGTGACATACAGGAACCCGATGAAGCTACAGAACGCAGACAATAAAATACAGGTAGGTGGACTGATTTTCTTCCTAAAGGCCACACAATCTCTGCCCAGACTCAAGAGAGAGTCGTCCGCATGTTTCTGTTGCCGTCTTCATACTTGCTGATGGAGAACTGTTATTTATGGGACAATACAGAGTGGTGCAGACGAACCCAACATATACAAGTCTTAAGATTAACATAACACTTACTGCTGATACATGAGGAGAGCTGACCGAAAGCCCGTCAGGGACTCATTTAGTCTGGATTCCCTAGCCTACAATAAGTTAGTTAGAACTGCTACGGTGTTATACATGAAATGCAGGTGGGTTAACTGATTTGTTTCACATATCACAGGCTTCTTTGTCTTTTGGATTTACAGCAACACTAGTTCTGTTAAAATCAACCAAAGTACCACAATAATTCACAAGGTTTGGATGTGAAAAAGTATTTCAGGGGCATGAATAAACTGCTAATTAAAAGGACAAACACAAAAACGTGTTGCGTTTCTCTATTGTGACTTCAGATGCTTCTCAAATGCACACTTCTTTGAAAGCTGCTTAGAACCACAGTCACACACACACACACACACACACACACAAAAAACAACTCACATTTTCCTTACAGTATCATGGATAACAAAGGCAGTAACATTTAACCATGAAAAGAAGAAGGATGCTCAAGTAGTGATATAATGTGCCATGTTTGGCCACGGCTGCTGAGGATCAAGATCGATCTTGCGAATAAAAGATCCAGGACTTTAAGGAGGCAGGAAAGAAGCTTTTCCAACGGCCATGTTATGATGCCAAAGTCAGAAGAAATCATGGAAGATGAGGAGTAATGCACATCCATCTTTGCTCGAATCCCAAGAAAGCAGGAGCAAAGCTTCAGATCAGCCTCTGCTTGGAGTTAGCAGGTTATTAACATGATTTTTTAACGTAATACACTTGGCGAAGAAAAAAAGGCTACACAGAATTAAGAAATAAATGATTAGAGTGAAAAATGTGGCTGAGAAACATTTGTTTGTGTTTGAAGACATGATTTAGATACTGATTTGTTAGCAGCCAGTGCTACAGTATGTGAATCCAGCAGTCACGTTCTGTAAAATGTCTCGGTTCTCCTTCAGAACACACCAGGGGCCCTTACGGGAAACGGGATGAATCTTTACACATTGCACCTTTAACAGAAAACGACAGATTGACAATTTAATAGAAACTAGAAAACAACAAAAAAAAGTCTCTTGATTTTTTCCCCGCTCTTTTTGAGTGAGCACCGTGAGCCGAAAAACACGAGGCTGCCGTTGTCCTCCACAAAGTGTCTGTGACGGTGCGCACAACAAATGAGTCCTCCCCTCGATCCCACAAATTAAACCAAACCCAAACTAAAATCCAGTCCAATCACAGCGCAGGAAGGGAGCCTCCATGAAACGTCATTTACATTCAACAATATTGGTAACGTGACTAGAAAAATAAAAGAACAATGGATGTCCATTGTAAAAAAAAAAAAAAGGAGCTGGAATTCAAGAAAATGAGACAAAAAAAGGCAAAAATTAAGAAAGACGAAAAATGGAAAAATGGAAAAGAAAATCCCAAACATGGTTTCGATACAGTTTAGACGCTTAAGATTCACTTTCCAAAAGCTGGACAACAGATGAAACAGTGAGGTATATAGTTAGATGGAAATAGTCATCATCTTGTTTGTGTTTTCATTGCCCCGTGGCCCTCGAGGACCACCAGACCGCACCGTGGCGGCCCTGAGTCTGTATCTGGGCAGCGATTATCTCTGAGGGGCGAGTGCGTGCCCAGCACGGGCTGTCCGAGGGCGAGAATGGGAGGGCTGGGATCGGCGTGTCAAGCTACGGCTGCAGATTGAGAGTGAACTTCCACTGCTGGGTGAGCGACGGGCTGCACACTTCCACCGTCAGGCCTCCGTTCCGCGCGCTCCGGCTGTCCAGGCACAGATTGCTGCCCACATGCCGCAGTTTGGAGTTGTTGTCGATCTGCTCCCATTTCTGCAATAGAAACACAATGATGATGATGATGTTGAAAATCCTCCTCCAAACCCCTGCTTTGAGCACAGCATGCTCACCTGTCTGCTGTCGTTCTCCCTGCAGCCCTGCAGTTTGATCTGTGAGCCAGCGGTGCGATCCACCACCGTCAGGCAAAGGTCCATGTGTTTGACTGATTTGTCTTTAGTCAGGGCCCATTCCTGTTCATGGGAAACATGGTAAGCAGGGAGCATTTGCCGAAAATACACCCAAATAAATCTACACAGGAACTTAACGGAAAAAACGGCTTGGTGAGAGGTTGCTATTTTCTGAAATGTACATAAGTAAGTTTAAGAAGCTTTGAGATGTTATGTGATGTGATATGCTGCTGTAATCCACCCAAAAAAAGCATGCTGCTAATTCTTTTATAATTATGCCGTTTTTGTGAGCTCCAAGTAAAAAAGGTCTTTAAAATGGTGAAAATAACATAAAAGGTAGGTTATTAATATATCATTTATATTAATCTAAATAAAAATACAAATTACTTATAATACATACAATAAATATGAATATTAGAATGAATGATTTTTGAAGGATCATGTTACACTGAAGACTGCTGCTGAAACTTCAGCTTTGCCATCATAGCAATAAATTACATTTCAAAGTATATTACAATTATTTTAAAATGTAATAACATTGCACAATATTACTGTTGTACTGCATTTTTGATCAAATAAATGTATATATAAATTAGGTTATATATTAAAATAAACAAAATGCAAAAAAAAAAAAAAATGGAACAAAAGCATGTTGATAAATCTTTCATAATTAGTTTGCATGCACCTTAATAAATCTACACCTATATGCAATTTTTATATTGTATTAAAAAAAATATATATTTTTTTATATTACCACTAGTTTCACATTATTACCATTAGGAAACTAGTCACATTATTATTATTTTCATTATACTTTTATACTTGTAATTTTAACTAGTCACTATATTATGTTATGTTGTTTTATGTTATGTTATGTTACATGTTATGTTATATGTTATGTTATATGTCGTGTTATGTTATGGATTTATGTTTCATATTCAAATAGACAAGTATATACAGTCAAACCAAAATGTATTCAGACACCTTCAACATTTCTCACATTATCTGTTAAATTTAAGTACACAATGAGATAATACCAATTTAGGTCAACCAATTACCAAGCAATGCCTAATTTTGCTCAGTCTGTGGTGTAAAAAGGTTAATTAGCAATTAAAGAAAAACACTTAAGCAAAACATGGTCAGGTCAAAGTATTTGAATAATTTTTGGTCCCAAATTTTTATCAGTTTTACTGGTAGTCCATTATATGAAGAAATTTTGGGTATAATATCTCCGTTTATTTTGCTATCCTCACTTACATAAATGAACTATAGTGTCCTGCACCAACTAGTATAAAAATATAAAAAAAATTATATCTGGTGTCTGAATAATTTTTGGTTTGACTGTACATCTATAAGTGTGATTAACCATTTAAATCCATCAGACTTGCACACTGTGATGATAAACACAGATAAAAGTAATCCAGAAACTACCATGTGGCCCTAATTTATACGTCGCTCACCCTCCACAAGTGCATCGCTCATTTAAACGAACCCAAACTCACTGCAGAGTCCATCACCCAGTGCTCTGCTGCCACACCTGACATAAGACTGTTCAGTACCTGAGATCGGATTGGTACCTGATTGCCCCCTGCATTGTGGCACTCATACACCCCCACCACGCCGTCAGCAAAGTGTCCCAGTGTGTCCAGACAGTTCTGACCCTGCTGTAGTGCTCCAAAGGCTATGTCCTGATGATCAGGGACCCTAAACAAGATAGAAACAAGAAACGAGTTAGGTACCAATTACACAACCTTTTGAACTGCATTCACTGGTTGTCGACTCTAATAAAGTTAAATTACTTTAAATTTACATGTCTAGACTTAAATTAAAACTGCCGGCACATTTAAACATTACGTGAAAACGTTAAAGACTCTGTTTACACTTTATCAATCATTGTGCCAAATCAAAGGTTTATGCACAGAAAGCAAAAAGCTCATACATACCTATGCACAAAACTTAACAGACTAGCAGGTGTAAATACGGTCAAAGTAATCCAACAGCTATTTTACCGTAGCTCAGGATAGACGTTCTCCAGGTACCACTTAAATGGTTTGCAGCCCAACCTCTTCTTCATTTCCAGCCGGCTCTGAATGCTGGAAATAATGAGGGAAAGCCAGTCATGTGGAGTTCATTTGGAGGTCTAAATCTCTCAAAACAGAGAACTTCAACTAGCCGAGTCTGAAATGAGTGGCCTCTCGTGGCCTTGGCAGTGAGCAATCTTCACATGTTAAAGAAAACAAATGTCTTACTCTATTCCAAACTTTTCCTTAGCAATAATATTTGTAAATTAAGACAGATACACACTTACTTGCCATAGGGCACATTACGGGCTGAGGGCACAGCAGCGTAGTAGAAGTTCTTAAACTCATCCATCCAAACCTCTGCTGCTCGCCTTGTGTTCCTACAAAGACGAGCACAAGCACATGAGAGTAAATGATACATTTAATGAAGAGATACTGATGCTCTGCTAATGACCATAACATGTCTACTACATTATTCCTGAATCTAACTTCAACACTAATGGACCTTCTGCAGCAAGTTACTGGGTGCTTTATAATTAAATTTCAACTGCACTACCTCAACATCTCACTTATCACCGGCTGCAGTGCTGCATCCACCCACTGGGTGGAGTACATGAACCAGAATAATAAAGGGCTCATGTGGTTTGAGCAATCACAAAACCGAAGGTAAATAAGAATTGTGTTCTTTAGCTACTGTAACGTTGCTCACTCTGGGTACCCAGGAATATATGTAACATCTAGCAAGATTACAACAATCCTGACTACGGTTAAGTATCCTGAAATGGTGATAAAAAATTGATAGCTCAAAGTCTAACACACTCAAAATATAATATAATATAATGTACCATACTATAAATGTAATACAACACAACACAATACAATTTAGCAGCAATTATTTCAGTCTTCAGTGTCACATGATCCTTCAGAAATGATTCTAATATTCTGATTCTGCTCAAGAAATACTGTTTATTATAATCAATGTTGCAAACAGTTGTGCTACATAATATTTTTGCCAAAAATGTGAGAATAGAAAGTTCAAAAGAACAGCATTGATTTGAAATTAAAATCTTTTGCAACAGTGTAAGAGTGTTAAAAGTGTTTACTGTCAATGCGGTATTAATTTCTTAAAAAAATTACTAATCCCAAACTTTCAAATGATAACATAATATAATTTGATGTATACCTGGCAAAGACAGTGCCGCTGCCCCCTGGGAAAGTGTATGGATGCTGTTTCCTGAAGACGTGACCCACTCGACTGCAGGGAATGATCTCCAGACTGCCTCCGCACTGCCAGACCCGGAATGAGATCTCTGAAGATCACAACAGCAGCCAGAGATTAATAAGACATATCACAAAACACAAATAGCCAGTTCATAAATGTACATTTCCAAATGGGAAAATAAGGCAAAGGGTCAAAACTCATAATTGCACCTGATTTATATTCAAATAAACAAAAAAAGCTCTTCTTTGTGAAACTTCTTGGTCTTTGCAAACTTCTTCAGACACACACATGCAAAATGCAACTTTATTCCATGCTGATGGATAATTTCTGGAGCTGTTGTAGACTTTTCCACAAGCAGTCCAGCAGAGAAAAGTGCTGTGTTTGTGGAATGAGTCAGGATTTTCTTTCAGAATCCATCATGCCACAGACATTATGACAAAACCTGAAAAACTCTACCTCATCGAGTCTTACTATGCAGTTTTCTATTCAGGTCTCGTTGCTAATAATATAAAAAAGCAATAGTTCTTCAGAGGTGATCTAAATTGCCCCTTACATTTCTGGCTGAGTAAGGCATTCTCTCATATAATCTAATGATACAGAAGTACCATGATTTCATTTTCAGTATTCATATACAGAGACGCCACATAATATTAGAACACTTATGTCACATCAATGAGACACAGATTTAGGAATTACACTGCATTAAATTAAACCATGTGGCTTTTGTAAACAATTAATGCTGACCTTTTTCAAAGTCATTTTTCATGGTCCTAAAATAATTTTAGTGGATGTATAAATTCACACTGCCTTCAAGCCCTCATAAATAGAACCTACTTAAGCGTTCATAAATAGCAATTACAATGTAATATGCATTCAAATTAATTTAGTAGAAATAAAAATATATGCATTAGATAATTTCCCTTTCCCTTCTATATATTTAATGTAATATGAGTCCAGATACATTTTTGGGGCCACTTTGAAGAAGCTAATCTTCAATATAAACAATAAAGGACACACTGGTAGATTGGGAAGATCCACTGTGTCTTCTGTCAGTCAGCTCCAATCAGCTTGTCCCAGCACAACATACGAAATGCAGGGCATTTAGAGAAATAAAGCGTCCACTCACCAAGATTCTCACCGCCCCACACGTCCATCATCATGTCGTACTTGCCCAGCTCCTCAAAGTAGTTCTTGTCCATTACAAAGAGGCCACCAGCAATCATGGGAGTCCTGGACAACACAAGCAACACAACATCAAATCTTGGACTTACTTAGAACTTTATACACTTCATAGAACTTACTTTCTATTAAATATATACTAAGAAGTTATCTGATACACTGGCGATGTGTTTTGTTGCAGTGGCCATTTGTGACTTAAAACTTTGTGCTCATTTCACTCTCCAATGCTGTGATAGAGCAATCTGATCACAGCCTCATAAACAAAGTCATTAAACAACACTGGAATCATTAAATGAGAATGAAGAGTGCTGTGTCATGAAGACTTTTACACAGCACATCCCATAAAGGCACCACACTGTTTATTATCTTAATGTACTTTTAATGTAGCCACTGCACGGTGATTGAGATTTCACATCACAGCAATGCACCCTCCATACAATCCCCCATTTCGGTTGCTTCACACCTTACTTTCTCTTTTCCGCTCGCCTTCAGCTGTTAATGATTCGAGTCATTCCCTGGAGAACAAACCTTTTACAAACAAGCAAGCAAGCAAGCACATGGGCTCCTGGGACAAACTTGTTTTGTTATTACAAGAACTTTAGGGGATTCTTTTCCCATGTTGACCCGTGCGTATTATTTTACCAATAATAATGCAATGTTTGAGAGCATAGAAGTTGCACAAGAAAATCTTCAAAAAAATAACTCTAGCCCTCCAGCCATTAAGTGTTGTTATTGTTAACTGAAACGATAAAAAACTCTTTTTTTTGTCAATGAAATAAAGCTCAAATAAATTACATTATGAATATTACATTAAAAATTAGAAATGTCAACTTTGCAACTACGTGAAATAAGGTTAAGCTGAAGTACAAAAATGAAACAAAACGAAAACTGAAAGCCTAAATCTTCAAGAACGCAGTCTTAAAAAATAAACAAAATAAAAAAACAGACTGCACTCCTATAGCTGGAGTTCTGTTTCAAGAGAGTCTATAGATTAAACAGTTGACACTGAATTAATTAGAGAACAGTGTGAGAAGAATAAAAAGTAGTCATCTGTCAATAATCAATCTCCGACTCACCGGTTCATGATCCAAAACATTTGTAGTGCGAATATTTAAGAAGAGAGACTAATTCTTACTTGATAGGAGCAATGGGGTTTCCCTGCCGTGCTCGTCTTTGTTCCAGGGTCATGTAGTCCCATTTAAAAACTAGATTCCAATCAAAACCTGGATAAAGATTAGACACATTACATTAGGGATGAAGTCTGATTTTAAATGTAGGTTCAATGCCCTGCTCAGCCATGTGTCAGGTAAGGGAATAAGGGAGCATATTACTGATTCTGATGAACTTCACTGATGAAAAGACTGAGGCTTTGTTCAGAACAGCATACTATTGTGCTACTTTGACAGTATGCAGCATCTATTCTGTGCACAGCATTCAAATGTTTTCATGTAACATTTCTTTTCATGAAAAGACATTTTACACAAAACCACATTTGCATTACCAGTAGGAAAAACCATAGCTTGCCAAACAGCAAAAGAATAGTCTTAAAGTTTTAAGTAATCGTGGGGGTTAGGCTTTGGCTCTGTGAATGCTGTATCCTTAAAACCTTGCTGTTGGCATGTCTTATTTTCCCAATGCCTCTTGTTTTCTGTCGGCTGTATACAAGAATCAACATAAAATGTGACACTCGGTAGCTTTAGATGGTGAAATAAATGCAACCAGGGTCATGTAGTCCCATTTAAAAACTAGATTCCAATCAAAACCTGGATAAAGATTAGACACATTACATTAGGGATGAAGTCTGATTTTAAATGTAGGTTCAATGCCCTGCTCAGCCATGTGTCAGGTAAGGGAATAAGGGAGCATATTACTGATTCTGATGAACTTCACTGATGAAAAGACTGAGGCTTTGTTCAGAACAGCATACTATTGTGCTACTTTGACAGTATGCAGCATCTATTCTGTGCACAGCATTCAAATGTTTTCATGTAACATTTCTTTTCATGAAAAGACATTTTACACAAAACCACATTTGCATTACCAGTAGGAAAAACCATAGCTTGCCAAACAGCAAAAGAATAGTCTTAAAGTTTTAAGTAATCGTGGGGGTTAGGCTTTGGCTCTGTGTGAATGCTGTATCCTTAAAACCTTGCTGTTGGCATGTCTTATTTTCCCAATGCCTCTTGTTTTCTGTCGGCTGTACACAAGAATCAACATAAAATGTGACACTCGGTAGCTTTAGATGGTGAAATAAATGCAAGAAAAAAGAAAACGATCACAATACAGTATGCAAATAAACAAGGTGGCTACATTTGGTACGCTGAACATTTCATAAAATGGAATGGGAGAATTTCTTATGTATACAGACACGAAATAAAAAATTGTTATCAGGAACTGAAATAAAGCTGATATAAATTCAATTATATTTATTACACCAAAAACTTAGAAATGCTGACTTGCCAGTTAAGTGAAATAAGCTTAAGCTGAAGTAATAAAATGACAAAAACTAAAGCTAAATAGAAGTACTTGAAACGTAATAAATATGACAATTACTAAAATTAATAAAGTACTAAAAAAATTAATATTATAATATATAAATATTAAGAATAAATATTTAAATATTAATAATATAATAAAAACTAGAAATGATGACTTCACATTTCAATTTTCTTAAATATTCAGAAACAAAATCTGCAATAAGTTTAAATGGAGTATGTATTTTAACTGTTTGCTGAATTAATAGCAGACATTTATGGAGAAGAGATTAAAAAAAAACAGTAGTAAGAACTGTAAATAACCCCAATATTTTAATCCCCAAATTCAAGATGCAGTATATCAAAGTAACAATAATGTAGCATCCTACTGTTTAAAAAGTTTTGGTACTGCTTTACGTACTACTTTTTTTTTTTTTTTTTTAAGTACCATACAGTAAATACTGTGTATTCCATTGCATTCCATTCTGAACATATAAAAAAAGAAAAAGAAAAAAAAGAAAATAGAGATAATGCTATATAAAGTCTAAATGCCGGTTAACCAGCACACACAGAACCAGAATGTGGTGAAAAAAGCCCATATAAATAAAATGATATTTATAACATGCTGCTTTATAAAATACAGCGATACCAACATGGATAGATCCATTTCCATATTATTTCCCACTGCATCCAGAGACCTCAAAGCTCATAGAGGAAAAGCTATTCCACTCCGAGATAGAGCTATTATGCCTAAAACCCCCGGCCCAGACAAAAATCAATCAAATGGTTTCCATTCCAAAAGGACATTTTCTCTTTTGGAGATTCATCATGCTCTCTCACTCTTCTGCACATTGCGCTGCCTCCACAAACGCTCTCTGCATTGATTTCACTCCAAACATGCATCTAAACATACAGTACCTCACACACAATATAGCCCTGCACATGAAATATAATAAATGCCATCTGCTGTACTACCCATAAACACACGCAAATACATGCATGAATGGATGCAATCATATCAGACACATGCACACAATCCAAAGCAATAGACTGGATAGTGATTGAAGTGTTGTGAGGAAATAGGAGCTGATGAAAGAGATTTACCTCCTTTAAGATCTGCAGATGCCCCCACATACTGGAAATTGTCCATGTTAATGACATCTATGATAGGCGACACAACCCGAGTCTTATCCTGCCGAGAACAACAAATGATGTGAAGCTGGGCTGACAGTACTGTACAAGCATATGAAACGAGATGACTTCTCACCTCTCTGCTACAATGCATTCTTAAGATGTATCTGATAGAAACAATAAAATTCAACCAGAATTAAAATCGCTGAATATCCTGACATTAAGAAATGTGCACTGCACTGCCGTTACGAATCACGGCAAATCCATCAGAAATACCTAGGAAAATCCCATTAATCTTATGAGCTTCGCTGACACATGACTGGAGTATTTAGAGTTGAGTGCTATGAGTTAAACACTCCAGAAAAGACAGGCAATCAATTCTACGTGATAAGTGTGGAGAATTTAACACTAAATATAAATGCATTGCTTCTCAGACATCTTCCAGTATTCATCATGACAATTCTGGGACACCCTGACCAATCAAATCATCCCAACTGTGGCTTCACCTCTGAATTAACAAATTCATTTGTCACCGTGCTAGAATGTTTCCACATGGCAATTTTCATATGCATGCAGGTACAATAAATACAGTTCGTTATATTAATACATTCAAATTAAATATCCGTCTTCAGTTCATTTAGCGAAATACTAAAAGTGCTTTGAATTAAACATTTTGAAACCACAAATCATTGTTTGATTAAAACGATGGCTCCTGTGAAACTTTTCTCAGCATAACAGAATGTCAATTTTTGTATAAAGCAATTCAATAATATTAAACTTTCTCTAAATATGGGTAAAAACTAGGCTTAACAGTAGCTGATACTTTGAAATTCATCCATTTTTTTTGGTGGGCAAAAAATTGCTTAGTTACAAAATGGTTGATACAATTCTTAATACATTTGGAACCAAGTAAATATCTGACATCTAATTTTTTTATATTATTTTTTTCTATATGTCTAGTGATGATATTTTTTGGTAATATTCAATATACAGTAAGGAATTAATAGTATTGACTGCTAGTAGTTCATGTTTAGGCGAATACTGATATAAAGCTGGAAGAACTCTAATGACGACTAATGATGAGTGGATGCAATAAGTGCAAAAGTGAAAAATGTCAAAAACCATTAAAAACCTATTCAGTAGGAGTTCAGCTCTTGACTAGATCTACTCTTCAATTTAGGTAGTATATTTCTGCTCATGCACACATGCACATACATTTTAAATTATAATAATGATTTTGCTTCGATATAAGTCCTGTGTAGAGGTACTTCTCCAGAAACAGGACAACATTTAATTCATGCTCGGTATAATCATCACGAAGAAGCGCTTGGATAAATTCTGGGATCACTAACTCCACAGTTTGATTATGTGCTTATCTGGGTCATCCGGCTGAAAATGAAGACACCTAACAATATAAATGGGGTTATGAAACCTCTTACTACATTTATGCCTGTAATTTGTACTTTCAGTGTCTTATACTTCTACTCCCTGTTATTTATTTTGTGAGTCAAAAGCCTTGAGGCAATTTCAGAGTAATTACGTGTGCCTAGGGATGCAACTGAAGCAAATATTTCTTTTGGGTCAATCTGATCCTGAACCAGAGCGGACCTGCACATCCGCAACTGGGGTGTGTTTACTTGCATTCAACACACCTGTGCACACACACTGAGGACTTATCTACATGCTGTACTAACACACGGTGTTGAATGGCACTAGTTCCCCTTCACAATATTCTTTATGGCTTGTTTGAGAATTGTTGGCAGTCGACAGCAGGATTGGATACAAACAGGTATAATGATATGGCACTCCAAGTACAGTTTGTGCATCAAGACACACAGCCAAAGAAAACAATAACTTCTCATCTACTCTTCTCTTTTATCATCTTGGCCTGACATCTGCAATTGCAGTGAGCTGCTAAACGTCCGCTGCTGTAATGAGCATGTGTGATTATAGCCTCCAAAAGCAATGGCTAATTTGCCAAATCTGAGAACCGTAAGACCCAATGTTTTGCTGCTTGTCAGAGAAAGAAACAATAAGACAGAGAAAGAAAAACATGGCTGACCTCAGCAACCCTTTCTAGCAGGGGCTCCAACCAGTGTTCATTACACTCGCAGTGGCTGTCAAGGAAGGTTAATACATTGGCCGTGGCCGCATCCGCCCCTCTGACTCGGGATCGCATCAAGCCTGAGAACAGACACACAACACAACACAACACAACACACAAACACCGGATTGAGACTCAAAAGCACTGAACTATGCAGAAGGTTGTTCTCCCTGTATTCTAACCTAATGATCTACACACAAGTGTGCAGGGAACCATAATGACAGTCCAACATACACATGTCAAAAGTACTGGTATTTTGGGTACTTCACAAGTTTGGTGAAAAGATGTTTTGGAAAAAGTAATGGTATGATGCCCGTGTATTTTTAGGTTAGTTCTCTCTGAAGGGAATGAAGGGAAGCAGACATAAAATCACCGATTGAATATGAACACAAAATTAAGCCATAAAAGGAAAAAAGGAGAACCTCTGGGAGTATCAGTGTTAATGCATCATATCTAATCATGCACTGCATTTTTAATTTAATTTATTTTTTTCTGAATGTTTATTTGAATACTTTATAATGTTGGTAGGTACCTAAAATAATCTGGTGGTGATATTAAATAATATAAAATAATCTAATGCTGGTATTTTTTGCCTTATTTTATTATCATCTATTTAACTTGTAATTACTTGGGGAAAAAATTATAAAAAAACGCACAACAAACACACCAAAAAAAAAAATCTACCAAAAAACAACATGGTTGTTACCATACCGCATGGGACGATGTAAGCAAAGAAAACACTTTCTTCTCTCTAAAATATAATAAGAGAAAGCTCATCTAGTGGCTCATGGGGAGACCTAAAAATCAATTTTCAAGCACTGAGAAACATTAAATATTAATTAACCTGTTTGGCTCTTTGTAACAAAATCTATATAATCTTCATGAGCACAGGTTTATTATTTATTTATTTATTTTTTGACATTTAATCATTAAACATTTAAACATTAATTTACTACGATCTTTACCAGAGAGAGTACATGTTAGTTCGTTCTTTTCTTTAACATCAAGTAATTTGTGTTTCAAAAAAAGATTTTTGCAAGCAAATACAAGGAGCTTGTTCAGTTGGACTGAAATAGGATTTGAACAAAAGGCTTTGGATACGAATAAACAAACTGCAGTTTTGGCTACAGAACAGCATTTTTTGCTTGACAAGATATATAAAACAGCTTCCAAAAATACACTCCAGCTCGTAACAGACCATTTGCTTTTCTCTTCTTTAATTTTCTCCATATTTGCACCTATGAAGTATGCAGCGCTTGTAATGACTTCATGCTGAGGCTGGTCACAGTTAGTCGCAATAGTAAAACTTCAGCTAGTTTTAATAGACGCCTAGATTTTAATGACCAAACAAGAGCTGCTAGTAAAGGGCCACTGGTCCTCAGTGCCGATCCTAGACTTCTGGGGGCCCTACACAAAACTGTGTCGGTGGGGGGGTGGGGAGTTATGGAGTGGGGTATGAGTGGTTATGAACGAATGAATGAAATGCATTTGTCCGTGTTTCACTCCGTTTCGAATCGCACTCGCGGAAAGCGCTTGAGAAACAGTATCTCTTCAGTGGCTCGGTACGCTTTCAACTCGTTTTTTTAGTCTCGAGCAAGACTGTACGACATTCACATTACATGATTTGACTGATTTGTACGTAGACAGGGCGACAGCGCACCGCATTAAAATAAATGATCATTCATGTTTTCATAACCACTGGCCAAATTCAAAAACGAAACTAAAATTAAATCATCTTTGAGAGCAAGGGGGTCCCCCTGGTGTTTCGGGGGCCCTACGCAGCTTGCGTATTTTGCGTATAGGGAGGATCGGCTCTGCTGGTCCTTACATATTAACTAGGGTATAGTTTTGATTAACAATGTTACTGTGATTCAGAGGGTTATAAATCACTCACCCTCTCGACGATCGTTCCGTAGGACTCTGACTTTCTCGATTTTCCCAAGTAAGGCACCATCTTCAGCTGAAAGCCCAGAGAAAACATTGTGTCAGCTCAAGTGTTCAGGGCAATACATCTCTTCTATTATATATGCAGTAGTTAATATACACAGGAGGAATGTGGTAAAATGTGCCAGTGGGCAACTTGTGTCACTTCGTTAATCCAGAAAAAGTCGGCACAATTTTGTAAATGTCACCATATATTTAGAAAGGGCACATCATGTACAGCTTGTTACAAACTTCTTTTTGGTCTTGAGAAACTTTAGGGCAGGGAACTACAGGTCAAATTTCTTGAGTGCTGGCCAACAGAAACCCACCACAAAATGATCACAAATGTTTTTCCACAAAGTTACATACTGAAGAAGCCACTTCATCTCGGAGTTAAAAGAAACCACAAGGTAGGAGCATAATTTCATGTTTTCTTGAAACCTTAATTGACTGTGTCCCTTTTTTGACATTTCTTTGGTCATATGTTACCAACTAATAAAAATTAATAGCAGACACACTGAAATATAATCGGGTGCACTAGTTTTACCTCCATCTGAATTCTCCTTGCCTACAGATGACAATTTGATCAAAAAGGGGGCACAGATACCGAACTCTCCACTACATATTGTGAAAACAAAAACTTGAAATGAAAATGTAACAGACAGTTCTGAAAGAGCATTATGTCCAAAAACAAAGACCATATTCAAACGCCAATATGCAAAAGTAGGATCACAAACCACACATGTAAAACCACTGAAGAAAGACGAGGAATAATAAGTCCAGTGCCTGCCAGGTTCCCTGCAGCAGAGCGTTATAGAGGAGGGCTGCATTGCTTTCAGGACAGGGTTCATACAGAGTTCAGACATCTGAAGAGGTCACACTACTGGTTTGACATCCAAAAAAACAAAAAGTGCAATGGGCTGGGGACTCGGGAACACGGTTGGTGCCATGACGACACACTTTATACAATCAAATCTCAGTTGGACTGTTGTCGTGTTCTGCTATATGGATGTACGGCATGATTTATGTTGAGAAAACAAGAGTGTGTGATGATAAAATAACTTGTACAGCCAGGGTAAAACACTGACCAAAAACCATGATGAAACCAATTGTATATGATTGTGAGATGATTTAAGTTCTGTACCATTTAGTTGGATTGGTATCTAAAGATCAAAACACTTACGGCTGTCACTGTAGTCGTCCACCAAGATGATCTCTTTGACCAGATGAGAAGGACTCTTCTTCAGCACACTGAAGACAGGAAAAGAGGACAGGTTGAATGCATGTTTATGCTTAAGTGTAGAGAGAGAAAGAAATCTTAGTCTAGATCTTAGTAGATATGTCAAAAGTACAGGTACATTATTGTTCAAAAGTTTATAGTATAATTTTTAGTAAAAAAAAAAAAAAATGTAATACTTGTATTACATGAGGATGCATTCACATGAAAGACATTAAAATTGTTATAAAAATGTTTCTTTTGAACATTATATTCATCAAAGAATCCTGAGAAGAAAAATATTCCACACAAATATTAAGCAGCATAAGGATTTTCAACATAAGTAACATTAATTTTACTAATATTTCACAATATTACTGTTTACTGTATTTCTGATCAAATATATGCAGCCATGGTGAGCTTTCCTTCAAAAAAGTTATACCGACCCCAAACTTTGGATAGTAGTGTACTTCTGTACTAAAGTGCATATGTGACATAATATTCTGTATTAAACACTATAATGTAAACACAGCCTAGTAGACAGTAATATGTAATAATTTGCAATATGAATTACAAAAATTAACAACAAAAAACCATGCACTTCTCTTAATTTGTGCTTTATTACTGACTGCTTACTTTATTAAAAAAAAATATATATATTAATATTAATAATTAATATATAATTATTATTATTATTATTAATAATAAATAAATAATTTATAATTTATACTCTTATTTTAAATAAAGGAGTGTGCTCAATAATAGTTTTGCTGTATTCAAATTAGTAAAAAAAATAGTGAAATTTTACTGGTAATGGCATCAAGATGTTTCTATGGTGACAATCCCACATCATAGTGCATTAAAAACTGTTATTTGACATGACGTCTCACCTGACCACAGTGCGCAGCAGGGCTGAACGGGCCTCGTTGTGGAAAGTGATAACCACACTGGAAGCAGGAAGATCTGTCCTCCACTGTTTGTGACGACAACTGAGATAGAGAGAGAGAAAAAGAAGATATATTAACATATAGGCAACCACCAGTATATTTTCTTCAGAAATCGAGTCAAGTACAATTGATGATCAACTGTTCAACTGACTAGTTGAAGCATTCGAAAACGTAATGAGACCGATGGGATTTGTATTGAAGAGAAGCTCTACACAGTGAAAACCCATTGTCACACCGCTACACCTGAATGCAGTCTCACACCCTCAGAGGAGCTCAAAGCCCACATTCATTTAATGCTTCTCTGAGGGTGAGATGGACAGGAGGTCATGCATGCTTAAACTCTCTGGACTCGCGTCTCCAAACATGCACACACACACACACATGTGCACACTATAAAGGTTTCAGCTACACACACCCACACTGTTTATATCCCAGAGGTTTTAATTAGACAGCTATGGGTCTAATCCTCTGGTTTCCTAGCACCTCTCATCGAGGATAAGAGCACACAATGCTTCCTCTGCACTGATGCCATCGATTTTGTGGCCACTGGATGCCTGGCAGGGGAATCGGGGTCAATTCCTCCTACACTGCTGTTAAACAACAGGTCAGGGTTGAGAGCCCACCATCAGAGACTCCAAACTGACTTCAGAAAAGGGATGAGATTAGAGTCATCCATGACACTAATTCTACACACTTGGCATCCTATTTAATTCCATTACGGCCAGAGAAATCACATTCATAAAGGTATAAGGTGGTACATCTATATTTTTCCCCAACTTTTTTCAATCTTTGCATTGAATGTGTATAGGCATTTCAACTATTTTACACTCCTTGACTTCTTGGGAATACATTAAGGGGCCAGCACACATTTCTAGCCCTGTTTGCTGGAGGTCTCGGGAGGAATAACTGTGCAGTAGGCCATTAATAGAATGGCCGCTTTGACTAGAAGACTTTTTAGAGTATATCCCATTGGCATGCTTCCATCTGCTGGCCTCCAACCACCCAGCATGGCACCAAATAAACTCTCAAATACTTCCACTGTTGCAGCTTAAGTCAATAGCTAATAGAATAAATGTTCTGGTCTCAGTGTGCTGAATGCATGCTTCTATGTTTTAAGCTTTTGATTAACTAATCAATATTTGTAATTAATTTAAGCTGTAATTAAACACCAATATTTGAAAAATGATGACCCCAGTAAAATAAAGATAATGTAAAAACACTGCATAATGACAACAGCATTGAATAGCTAACAAAAACGCATGGCAACTTAAAAATATATTTTAAATGAATATTTATATAATTAATATATTTAGAAAATGCATAAAATTCATATTTATATATTTCATATCTAAAATGATTTGCTAATTTTACAATATAAGTTTCATACATAAAATTCAATTTTTGTTAATTATCATAATATGTTTAATAGAGAAACACGCATTCGTATGGAAAATTTCTAATTTTAGATGACATTAATGTGCAGTTGCTGTGCATTAAACATCAATATTTGAATGATCTCTTATAAATTTTACTGGAATCTTCATATTTCTTTGCAAATACATTGCATAATGCACTGAACAGACAAAATAGCATGGCAATTCAAAAAAATATGAAATTAATAATTACAGAAAATAAATATAATATTTAGAAAATGTATAAAATCAATATTAACTCTCTACCACGTTTTGATTGTTGGGGAGGGGTATTGTCTATTGTGTGGGGTATTTGTTAAATATGACAAATACTCATGTGTTTGATCCACCTCATTCATTACAGCTAATATTTTTACAACATTAATGTACACTTGCTACACATTTATGAGCAGTGTAGGGAAGACACTTCACTGCAGCAATGTAAAGACAAGAGACTAAACAAGAAACACATCATGTGCAGAAAGACATCATTCATTAATACATTGGCAAGCAGGTCCTTTTTTTATTTTTTTATTAGAGCAGCAGTCCGAACACCAGACACAGGCTGCGGCCTCAGCGAGACAACAACTACACCCGCCAAAAACATTTCCAATAAGACACGTGGCCTGCTGCCATCAGGGGTAACACAACAGAAGCAGAGTCTCTCAGGAGTAAACAAAGAGCATGTGTTCCTCATTACCAGCTTAGGTAAGCGTTTAACAGAGGGATTTAAGACTAGTGCGCTTCATTCTTTCAGCTCTGGCCTGGGTAAATTTACTAGAAGGTAATGGTGCATATTCTCCTTACTTTTGGGAGAAAATACATAAGGCTGGCATTCCAGCAAACAAACTATAACGCTCTGACATTTAAAAAGGACGCAAGGTTTGTGCGTCTTCTGCACTGAGCGTGACTACAGCATTGGGAATGCAGCTCACGCGCTGCAGGGATGGTGAAAGAGCAGCGATAAGAAGACTTACAACAAGGATAATGTCATCTGCAGCATCAGCAGCTCTCCAGGAGGGAAACTGACTGACATATAGTGACAAGACGTTTACATGCAACTGCACAGACGAACACTGCTCAAGCCAAACACATTTACAGTATCAAACTCAGAGACAACTTCCACTGCTTATCAGAACGAATGGACAACATGCATTTTAAAGGAGACACTGCAGCATAAACGACCATCTAAACCAGTGTTTCTCAACCCAGGTCCTGGGCGCCCCCCAGCACTGCACATTTTGTGTGTCTCCCTAATCAAACACACCTGATTCAACTCATTAGCTCATTAAAAGAAACTCCAGGACCTGAAATGGGTGTCAGATAAGGGAGACATACAAAATGCGCAGTGTTGGGGGGCGCTCAGGACCAGGGTTGAGAAACACTGATCTAAACCAAAGAAGGGCAAACCAAATTCTTGGATATTAAAGCATTCCTTTCTGAATATGTATTATGATGAATACGCTTTTGCACATCCCATTTTAATTTTCTGTGCAATGCCTGTAACACTGCAGAAACCATTAAATGATCTAATATGACAGAACAATTAAATTTAGAGTCTTTTCATTACAGTTTCCATCTTGGAATTTTACTGAATTCATCTTGGTGGTCTAATCAGTCATACAATAAGCCTTCAATACTTAATAATATTAATAAAAACATTAAGTTTTAATTTGTTAACATCTATTTTTGTTAGAAATAAAAACATGTTAATCAATAGCTTCAGCCTTAGACTTACAAATCTGTGAAGGCTCTGTATATTTGCTGAAAGCAGAAGCCGCAGCAGCTATCTGAGGTTATTTCTCAGAACTCTTCTCTTACCAGCAGTTAAAACATTTCAAGTTAATACTAACATTAAATATTATCTATTCATCTATTAAGTTGAGGTCTAGGTCAGAGGTGACAGAGCAGCAATGTTCAGCAAAGTGCACTGCCCCCTCATTTAGATGCACGCTCTTTTATCCTTCGACTGCGCTCCGTTCCATAAAAAATCTATTAAAAAATAAATCACAAAATAAAATACAACCAAACACACTATAATTGCAGGAAAGAACCTAATGCATTTCAGATTACAACTAGTTTAAATAAAAAAGCGCATGTTGTGGTATTTTCGACGCGATCGACCCGGGTCCCCTTTTTTTCTCCCTTTTCAAATCTCATATCACATTGGAAAGGCATTTATTTTCAATAAAAATTCAGGAAATAATCGAAAAGTTGAAAAAGTATCAGGTAGGGTTAGGGTAGAGGTGGCATCCATTTAATAATTTGAATTAAATTGATCATTTACACGCATAACGTTATTATTGCATACAGTTTTATAATTTACTACAATACTGAGGTGCAGATAATTGCCACTATTTGCAACACATGGGATAAATAGCCGAAAATCCTGCTATTAACAGTGTAAATAGAATCTATGGCTATTTTCACTTAGTGTAATAAATGCTTTTCTTTTGAACTTTCTATTCATCAAAGAATAGAATACTGAAACAAACATCACAGTTTCCACAAATATTAAGCAATATATCATAAGAAAAACAATAGAGAATATTGTTACATTGTCATTATTGTTACAATAGAAATATTATTTTGAATTGTAATAATATTTCAAAATATTACTGTTGTTCCTGCATGTTAAATCTTCCTGCATATGCAGCCTTGGTAAGCATAAGAGAAAAAAACAACCCAAACTTGATGGTAGTGCACATCAATGAAATATCTGAACTCTTGACCTCGTGTCTAAAAGAAATTTCCTCTGTCGCTAATGTTTACATTATAACCCACCTTTCACGGAAGGGGATGAGAAGTGTTTGGTAAATCGTAACAGAATATGATCGGAACATCTTGCTCGGTTCAGGCCAGGTCACACGTGACGGTCTCCAACACACATCCATTTACAATGCAATTTGAACTCTGTCCAACTGAACCATAGTCAACAACGTTTGAGAGCCGTGCCAGTAACATCCCCTGCCAAATGACTAAAACAGACATCCAGCTGACGTGAGATTACGATGCCCAAGAATAAACATGTCAACCATGATGTACTCAACACAATCCCCCCCTCACACTTCACACATACAGTGGGGGCCAGATGTCCGAGACCACTTTGGGATTTTAAAAAATGTGAAAAAGAAACGTCAAGTAAAATAAGTATGCACTACTGATTTTCTAGGGCTCTATACAAATAACTTAATTTATGTCATTGATAATGTGACTTTCCGTACAGACGGTTATATGTTCTTGCTTCCATTGACGCTCAAGATGCTCTTTGGATCACGGAGAACGTGTTCGTCAAGTTTTACACAACCTGTAATAAACATTTGAAAGGCAAATTTTTTAATCAAAATGCACCTTTGTCCATTATTTGCAAACATATCCAGTGTTTTCCCCCTACTAGTGTTGCATTCTCTTTCTTTTCCTTTTTAGCTCCAAAGCACACTCATGGGAGGAGGGCAGACAAAACATTTCACTGCAATTGTACAAATGTGACAAATCAAACTTTGGACCTGGAGGGATCAGATCGATATGAAATACTGACACAAAGAGAGGAAATGGTACTGGGCAGTGCGAGCGAGAAACACATCTTAATTACACAGTCATACAACAGTGGGTCAATGTTTGCTTATGTGG